CTTTTTTGTCTGCTTTGAGCAACTTTCATTCTTGATTGGATAAGACGAATCTTGTCAGTTGTTTCTTGAATTATCTCTGGTCCTATGACACGTACCTTATCAATATCACTCTAACACAATGGTGTTCGATATCTCCTCCCGTAAAGGGCTTCATATGGGGCCATCCCAATGGTGGCTTGATAGCTGTTGTTGTAAGAAAATTCCACCATAGGTAAATATTTTTCCCAAGTTCCTTGAAAATCCAAGACACATGCTCTTAACATATCTTCAACGATCTGATTAGTGCGTTCAGTTTTCCCATCTGTTGTTGGGTGGAAAGCAATACTAAAGTTAAGTTTTGTTCCAAGCGCCTTCTGTAATTCTTTCCAATATGTAGCCTGATATCTTGTATCGCGGTCAGAAACAATCGAACTAGGTACCCCATGTAACCGCACTATGGTATTCCCATATAATTCAGCAAGTTGATCCAGACTCTAGTTATTTTTCATTGCTAGGAAATGTGCAGATTTTGTTAATCGATCCACAATGACCCAAATAGCATTCATTCCTTTAGTTGACCTTGGTAGTCTTATGATAAAATCCATTGATATCGAGTACCATTTCCATTCTGGTACATCCTACGGTTGTAACAAACCTACTGGTGTTTGATGTTCTATCTTAATTCTCTGACACGTCAAACATTTAGCTACAAATTCCGCCACTTCTTGCTTCATGTTACTCCACCAGTACATTTGTTTCAAATCCTTGTACATTTTGTTTCCTCCAGGGTGAATCGAGTATGGTGAACTATGAGCTTCCTCTAAAATCTTCTTTTTCAACATCTCTTCATTGGGAACACATAATCTACCTTAAAACCTTAATGTTCCATCCTCCTGAATTACAAAACCCGGGGATTTCCCACTTCGTACCTCATTCTTTATTCTTTCCAATTGTGAGTCCTTACTTTGGGCCTCCTTAATTTCATCTATCAATGTCGGTCTTATCTCTAATGTATTTAGACAAGCATTCCCATCCTTATGAATAAATTCGATTCCCATCCCTTGTAAGTCATCATAGTTGGCTTGGGAAAAAGGTAAGATTGAACTCAGGTGAGCTTTACGACTTAAGGCATCAGCAACAACATTAGCTTTGCCAAGATGGTATTGGATACTTACATCATAATCTTTTAAGAGTTCCAACCATCTACGTTGTCTCATATTCAGCTCCTTTTGGGTAAAAATGTACTTGAGGCTTTTATGGTTAGTGAAAATTTTACATGAAGCACCGTATAAGTAATGTCTCCATATTTTGAGTGCAAAAATTACGGCAGCAAGTTCAAGATCATGAGTGGGGTAATTTTGTTCATGTATTTTGAGCTGGCGAGAAGCATAAGCTATGACTTTATCATTTTGCATCAATACACATCCTAAACCATGCTTAGTGGCATCACTGTAAATAACAAATCCTTCAGTTCCAGTGGAAGGGTGAGAATAAGAGTAGTGGTGAGACGTTTCTTAAGTTCCTGAAATGCAGACTCACAATCTTTATCCAAAATAAACTTGGTATTTTTCCTCACAAGTCGAGTTATAGGTAATGCAAACTTGGAAAAGTCTTTAACAAATCTTCTATAATATCCAGTTAAGCCCATAAAACTTCGTACATCAGGAACGTTGGTTGGTCTAGGCCATTCCACAATTGCTTTTATTTTCTCAGGATCTACAGATATTCCCTTATCAGAAATAATGTGCCCCAAAAATGATATTTTCTTAAGCCAAAACTCGCACTTTGTTAATTTTGCATATAACTGATTCTTGATCAAGGTATCTAGCACTATTCTCAAATGTTCCTCATTATTCTTGGAATACACCAAAATGTCATCAATAAAAACAACAACAAACTTATCGAGGTATGGTTTAAAAATACGGTTCATCAAATCCATAAACACAGCTGGTGCATTAGTTAACCCAAATGGCATTACAACAAACTCATAATGACCATATCGCGTTCCAAAAGGCAGTTTTTGAAACATCTTCAGATTTAATACGGAGTTGGTGATATCCAGACCTCAAATCAATCTTTGAGAATACTTTTGCACCTCGAAGTTGGTCAGATTAATCATCAATACAAGGTAAAGGGTATTTGTTCTTGATTGTGATCTTGTTTAGCTTTCTATAATCGACACATCACCTCAAACTTCCATCCTTTTTCTTCACAAACAAGACTGGGGCTCCCCAAGGTGAAACACTCAGTCGAATGTATCCTTTCTCAAGCAAATCATCTAATTGTTTCTTCAATTCTTGTAATTCCGTTGGTGCCCTCCTATATGGTGCTTTAGAAATAGGAGTCGATTCTGGAATTAACTCGATGGTAAAGTCTAATTCTCTTTGCGGTGGCATGCCAGGTATCTCTTCTGGAAAGACTTCTAGGTACTCACAAACTATAGGAATGTTAGTTACCGATGATTCAGAAGGGTTTAAGTCAACCACACTACAAAGATAACCACATATCCTCTTATCAATCTGGTGAGCTCTCAAAGCACTGACTATTTGGATCTTTAGTTTTCTTTCAAACTTTTGATAGGATATCCTTTCTCCATTTGGAGCCTTAAGGGTTAAAATTTGCTCAACACAATCAATTTTGGCCTCATGCTTAGTTAACCAATCCATACCCAGAATTATGTGAAACTCAGATAGGTCAAAAGCTATCAAATTAGCTGGGAATTCAACTCCCTCTAAAATAATTGGACATTCTCTATCCATGGTTCCACATTTTATGGTTTCTCCAGTAGGGAGGGAAACACTCATGCCAAGAAAGTCATAATAAGGTTTCAATTGCAAACTATTGGCAAATATTAGGGAAATAAAAGAATGTAATACTCCAGAATCAAAGAGAACATGAGCATGTGAAGAATGGATAGAGAAAGTACCAGTTATCACAGTGTCATCATTATCTGCCTCGTCCGATCTCATCACATAAACTCTTCCAGTTGCGGGTGGTCGAGGTAGATTTTGGTTTGTGCCTCCTGTGTTGGTGTTGTTCCTTCCCCGATTTGCACCAGATGGAGCTGGTCCCTTTGAAATTTGGTGTGACTGTTATGAACTTAGGACAATCCTGAATATAATGACCAGGACTCCCACATCGGTAGCAAGTATTGGTACCGATACGACATTCATTCTCAGTATGGCTTCTTCTTCCACATTTAGCACACACTACTTCAGATCTATTATTCTGATTTTTGTTCCCTCCTTGCTGACCTTGTCCTCTATTACCAGAGTAACCCCCTTGTTGACTTTGGTTTTGCCTCTTTGTTCCTCCTTGGTTTTGGTTATCATTCCTCCTCTTATAGCCAACATTTTGTTCCTCTCGAAGTAATACAACCCTTTCCACATTAACTACTACGTCAACCATATCTTGATAAGAAGTAAATCTTTGAGATGATAGTCTATCCTGATATTTCAAATGGAGACCTCATTCAAAACGATTCATCCTAGATTGTTTCGTTGATACTAATTCTGGTGCAAACCTTGATAACTCCATGAATTTGTTTGCGTAATCCAGCACACTCATGGTTCCTTGTTGCAAGTGGAGGAATTTATCTTCTTTTTGTCTTCTCAAAGACAATGGATAAAACCTATCTCGCATTAACTCTTGGAGTTTGGTCCAACTAAATCCAGACTCATTATTCCTTTACTTGTTGACCTTCCACCATAAACTTGCTTGACTAGTGAGATAAAATGTAGCAAAGTCAACTTTCATTCTTTCAGGACATCGCAAGGTCTCGAATAACTGATCCATCCGGTTAATCCAATCTTCAAACTCGACTGGATCAGGCTTACCATCATATGATGGTGGGTTAAGGGATGAAAACTTTTTAAACATTGACGCACTATCTTCCTCGTTCGTATTTTTCTTTTTCCTGGAATCTTGAACTAGTTCATCTAACAGCGTACTCACATTCTCGATACGTCCGATTCTTTCTTCGTACTCTTTTAAGGGTTGCTCCTCGTTGTTTTCCTCGTGGACATTTTCTTCGTGGACCATTTCATTTCTTACAAAAACATCGTTCTGGGTTCCTTTGGAGACATCGGTAGTTCCCTTGTAACTTGCCATTCTGCACATCAAATGTGATTAAGAAAACTAAGAATGGAAAAATAAGCCCCTTTATCCCGTTCCTACACTCACACTCAATTCTATATTTTTTTTAATGTATTTTATTAGCTAGTGATCTTATTCTAAAAATTTATTCAACTTTATATATAAATGTAAAACCAGTAGGGTTTCACACAGTGGCGATTCCAGAAATTTTTTGTTATGGGTTCGAAATTGCTAAACACATATTTCGTATGTGAATGAATTCAAATAACATAATTTAAAATACATTACAATTGATAATTTGGGTGTGCACATTTGTAATACAAGTGCAAAATAATAAAAATTTATAATTAAACTTGACAAGTCTCCAAATTTTGGAACGATTATATATCTACAATCTCTACAAATCTGAACTAGAAAAAAATTGAATCTTCAATGTAATCATATTTCATGGTTAAGGTATTTTGGATAATGGGGAACTGGGGTATTAAGCATGGAAAAGCCAAAGAAACAAAATAAAAGCCCAAAAAAAAACAAGAAAGAGAAAGAAATAAACCTAAAATAAAAGGAAAATCATAACATAGTGCCAGGCAAACTCGAACCTGCAACCTTCAAGAAAAAGTAATGGACTTCAACCGCTGGGCCGCGTTAGAAGTTCAACACATATTAGTAAATTATATTTTATTTATCTCAACTTTTTTGCAAAGAAAACTTATCAGAATTTTTCAGATCCAGTATGGGTTCAGCTGAACCCACTGAACCCATACAAGAATCGCCACTGGTTTCACAGGAACCATTGCTCTGATACCACGCTGTAACACCCCGACCTCTAATTCAGTTATTAAGAGAATCTTAGCAGCGGAATTAACCTAACACGGTCGGGACGTCACTGCCGTAAATCCCTTACGAGATTTACAAGGCAACAGTCATACTTAATTAACAAACTTGATTTATAAAACATAGTAATCTATTTATTACAAACATTATTCTTAATTTTTTTTATAATAGAAAATCCTATCTTATCACAAACTTACTAAGTAGCTTAGTCTTACTATTCAAATTAAACAACTTAAAACTAAACTACTATTAAGTGATAACTGAAAATAAAATCCTCGCTACTACTCGTCTCCATCATCCTCAGCATTACCTAAAACATAAAACATAAAAACGGGTGAGCCGAAGACTCAGTAACGAACTACTCTAGTAGTGTAACATCATTTCAATTCATTTTAGTTAACAAAACAGGGAGAATGGAATATCTTAAAACATTTAATAAAATTCATATAATGATACATATAACTTTCATATTAACATGCTAGTCGCTGACAAGTATGACATGGCGGAACGTCTTCCGCGATGCGCCGGTGCCCATAACATAGAGCAGATGCTCGACATAGTTGGGCTAATGCCCCATGGGTACATGCATGACCGAGAAGTAACCTGTAAACATATACTGCCAGACGGACTAGGTCTTTCAATGTTATTTATCATGTTGTGTAACTTTAACATAAGTCATTCATAGATTCATGACATACTTTCGTAAGATCCAAAGATCAATAAAACAACGTATATCAATAAAATCATTCTAAATCATTAAACTGAAGTACATTAATAAACACGTTCATCATCCCGTAAGTCATTAAATCCAGAAATATAAATAACTTTCAAAAATGACATCATGTTTTTATAAACACATTTCGAAGAGGATTGCGGGTACTAGCAATAGTCGTTATTTCAATTTACAGTTTAATAACCTTCATGTAAGCTTTTGTTTATCGTTCTCACTTAGCTCCAAGGTACGATTTCTCTTTATAAAACAAGAATTTAAAGTATCGTATTAGTAAGGAAAAATGTTAATCCTATAAACTCTTTCACTACAAGAAAATAACCTTGTCGTAGTTATTATTTTAACCTTTAGTATCGATTGTAATTGCAACAAAAAGCTTTCCCAACGAATGGTCATTCGATACAATATCCCCCGTTGTCTTAGCCTTTAGTAGTGGTTTTCAATATCGCTGGGATTGGCCTCAATAATCGATACGAAAAACTACATCAAATCGTGGTGATTATTGTAGCGATTACAATCGCTATAAATGTTCAACTCATTTTCTTCAAAAAAAAAAAAACATGCGTATGATCTTTACAAGATTCGAACATGCAACCTCAAACTCTTATATTAAATGTTTCAACAATAAGTTATGACATATTTTATGTATTCTTTGTCAAACAATATTTATATATCTAGTGTTGAAAAGGCTTTTCGTATCGATTTTTAGGATTTAGTGGCGATTGTAAATGATACGATTTCTCAAAATTATATAAATGTGTAAAAAATAGTGTGGATATGTATTATTATGTTTTCCGTATCGATTTTACATGGAAAAACCATGGCGACTATAAAATGATACGACTTCCTTAATTAATTCACAAACAGACTTGCATATTGTAGCGAATGTAGAACCACTACGAAATAATCGCTACGAAAAGACATTTTTCTTGTAGTGTTTAATTATAAAATTACTTGATTACTATTTAGTGTCAAACCCATTTCTAAAGAGTTAATAATACAAAGTGTAAGATCATCATTTCTTATACAACATAATTTATAGAAAATGAAGCTAAGCACTATACTTTTAAGAGTAACATACATAAGCGTAATCATTAAAAATAAATATTGCTCTGATATTTCAAAATTATTTTATAATCACAAAAGAATTATACTTCATCATTTTCTCATAAAAATAATAAGAGTTGTCTTCAAAGAGTATGATGTCAAGCTTACTGCCAAATTAAAAGCAAAGGAAAGGAGTTAACTTACTTTGGGTATATAAACAAAATAGGTTCACGAGGAGCTTTGAGAATCAATGGAATATCAATTTCTATTTATAGAATCAGGGGGTGTCAAAGTCATCATCCATGAACTCACCATGGAAGTAGTATGAAGATGAAGAAAGAGAAGCTTATAAGTGGGAAAATCGAGTCAAGTCTCTTTGGTTGATTTTAAGAATTAATAGAATTGGGAAGCAGTACCAACGAGGTAAAATTGAAATTGGTCTTTATTACTACTTAGCTTATATATGAAGAAAAGGTGAGTTCGGATGAAACAAAAAGCTTGATCTTATCCAAAGTTACTACTTAGCCGTGAAGGAAGTGCTACGAAGAGGTGGGTTTCGTCTTTTCTGTGTACAAGGGCATTTGCCATTTTTGTGTGAGCAAGGGCATTTGCCATTTTTGTGTGAGCAAGGGCATTTTGGTAATTTTACTCTCTCGAGTAAAATAAGTACAAATTTTGATGCAATCTTTAAACATTTTATGGACCGAAAATACACTTTAAAATAATAATAAATTACTTTCCTTTAAAAATTAGCTTCTGAAATAATATAACCTTAAAATAAAATTTAAAATTAAATATTCGTTCCTGTTAGAATAGAGACAAAACCTTAACTAAGCTAATAAAATAAAATTAGAGTATGATAAATCGGGTTTTAAAATCTCGGGTATTACAGGAGCGCTTAGTGGAATTATTATGGAAGAATAAGAAGGCTAGAAATTAGGTTAAAGAGGGAGAAGAGAATGATTTTTGGTGTAAGACGAGAGAGAATGATTATTGGTGCCCCGAACTGCAGAAATGAGGGTCTTATTTATAGGGAAATTGAGTAGAGGGAACACGCGGAACCCTAAAAAGATAAAAACCCTAAAAATTAACACCGCGACACGGCAGAAAACACCGTGACACGGTGGAAGGTACCGTCAGACGGGGGAAGGCACCGTCACACGGGGAAAAATCCCGTGACGCGGTGGACAACTAGAGTGACACGGGAAATATTTGACCTACGTGAAGTGAAAACGCGTGAAGGGTTTACTCGGAAAAGACACGAGAAAATTCCGTGTCACGAGGTGTGCACCGTGACACGGGAAGACATACCGTGACACGTTGGATTTTTTGCGTCCAAATTCATAAGCGCGTGGGAATGAAACACAAAAAAGACACGGGAAAGCACCGTGACACGGTGAAAAATCCCGTGTCGCGGTACCATACCCCGTGCCATGACATCATCACCCGTGACGCGGGAAATTTACGCGTTAAAAGAGGGCGGAAATAAGCACGGGAATTCCCGTGTCACGGCACCAGGCACCGTGACACGTTGAAAATTTCCGTGTCATGGTACCAGGCCCCGTGCCACGTCACTTTCCCCCGTGACGCGGTGGTTTGGTTGCCTGCGCGACGATTCCAGTTTTTTGCGCGTTTTTCAAATTGCGATAACTTTTGATCCGTAGCTGAGAATAATGCGTATAATATATCATTGGAAATATTATCAAGTCTACTTTCCAATCCAATTTTAATCAGGTCAAAATGATTTTTATATTTTAAGATATGGCTGTTTTAGTGGAAGGGTGTCGGTTTTGGGCCGAGTTTAGTGTTTTGCTCATATCTTTTTCGTTATGGCTCGGAATTGGGCTTATGATTAAATTTTGAATTTGATTGAAGAAAAGGGTTGAGCATTGGATTGAATTGGGTGAAATTGATTTTGAGGGTTTATAATTAGGGGGAAATAGAGCGGAAGAATTAAAAAGAAAAAAAATTTAAAAAATAGGAGTTGAGTGATTGCGGCTTTTATTAGGGTGAAAGTTAATCGAATTCAATCCAAAGTCTAATCCAATTTGAATTAATCCAATTTGAATTAGGAATCAAACTAGTATTAGTAATTGGATTGGATTAAATTTTATTTTAGGGAAATTTCCATTGATACACTTTAGGTATTGACTTTTCTCAGCGGTACCACATTTTTTTTTGACTTCCTGCTGATATACCCCAGTTTATGACTTCATAACTGGCGTGATTAAGTCTGTTAATCAGACGTTACTTGGTTTATTAACATTTTAGGCTTAGTAATAGATAAAATGACTAATATACCCCCTATTTAATCATTTCCCTCCAAATTTTCCCACTTAATTTTGCTGTTATTTCCCTCCAACTTCTCAAACCTTATTCTCTCCCTATAAAACGCCACTTTACCTCTTCTATTCTCCATTAAATTTCTCCTCCATTGCTTCGAACTTATCTCTTCTCCTTTTCTTTTTCTTTTTTTTTTCTGTTGGTCTCTACTCTTCTGACATGGCTGGTTCTGCAGGTAGTGATTCCTCTTCTGGCAACAGATTTGGGAGGTCCATGTGGGTGAGACAAATTCAATGCAACTATAATCCACCAAGACATGCTGATATTAGGGTTTCTGACTCAATTTCTAATCCAGGAAGGTCATATTACAAGTGCAGGCATTGTGGTTTGTTCATGTGGGTTTCTGAAGATCAAATTATAGCAAACCTTGAAGAATCATCCAATTTGAGATTATTAAGAGAGGAATTTATTGATTTCACAGACAGAGCATATGAGTTTGCAAGCTATGTTTATATGGTTGTTAGAATTGCTCTTGTGATGCAACGGACGCTGGAAACACTCCCTTTCGAAGGTCGACTGGAAGGTCCCCGAGGGTACCACAGACTAATTTCTCTAATTTGCTGGCAAAAACACAGTCGGCTGGGGGGTGGGGTAAGCAGCCTCGAAGAGAGGAGCCTGAGCCGTCCAGACGATGGAAGGACGCAAGGGATTACCTTCGGCATAAGCAGCGGGAGCGTGCCGCCTACTCGGACACGGCCTCAACCCCAACTATGTCGGATGATTTTTCACATCATTCTCTCTCCCAACATACCAACACGGCCATCTCCAGCAGAAGTCAGGCTGTCCCCACCCCAACTCCTATTCTAGTTACCCATATTCCAACTCCTATTCTAGCGCAATCACTTCAATATCAACCTCCTCATGGGTTCAATGGCTTGATGCAGCCGAACCCCCAGGCCTACGGACAATATGGGCCATACGGGAAGGTGTACGGACAGCCTCCCTACCTAGTTGGACCATCCGTGCAGCCACAACCCATCGATTGGCAGATGTGCCAACTTACTCTGGGAGACAAGCCACCTCCGTTTTCGCAAGATATTTTAACTGCCCCTCAGCCGCCAAAGGTGAAGAGTGTACTTGTGAGAGCCTATGATGGCACGGGCAACCCAGAAGAACACATCACCTCGTACAGGAACCTGATGTACTTGCAAAGCGTAGATGATGCTACTTGGTGCAAATGCTTTCCGGCCACTCTGAAAGGTGTGGCGCAGGATTGGTTCAACAGTTTGCCGGCCGGAAGTATCAATTGTTTTACTACTCTTAGTTTGCTGTTCGTGGGAAATTTTTCATACAACATACTGCCTCGAAAGACTAGCCTTAACTTAGCGACAATCGTTCAAAGGAAGAATGAGGGGCTACGCTCGTACGTCCAACGATTTAACCAAGAAAAAGCCCAAATTCATAATCTGCCGGACGAAATGGCTTACTCTGAATTTCTCCGGGGATTAAGGCACAATGGTTTTAAATTTGACCTGGTAAGGAAAAAGATTCGGACATACGTAGGTGTCTTGCGGGAAACCGAAGCTTATATTGAAGCGGCGGACTTTTGTTCGCTCACAAAATCAGAAGCGCCGACCAAGGGGGCTGAGAAAAAACTTTCTCAGCAAGACTCGGCTGGCTAAAAGAAAGAAGGAAAAAAGAGAAAGGAAGTCTGGGTGGCTGATGCCCAGCCACATAAGTCCAAGAAGGTCAAGACGTACGAGCCTCAGTTTGAATTCAACAAGGATTGTTATTCTATCTTGATGGAAATCAAGGGTAAGTTTGAATTTGAGAAGCCACAGCCGCTGAGAGGCACGGCTCAGTATAGGAACAAGAACAAGTATTGTCATTACCACAAGGACGTGGGACATGACACAAACGATTGTATCAACTTGAAGAGATTGCTGGACAAGCTAGCCGAGAAGGGCATGCTAAATTCGTATGTGATGATGTCCAAATTCACTTACACACGGACAAACAACACATCCGAGCAAAGATAGAAGAATGATAAGAATAAGGACAAGGAAGATGATGGGAATAGCACTAATTCAGGCTTTGTGGCTGTGATATCAGGAGGATTTGACTCAGGCGGCCTAACTATGAAGGGGATCAAGCAGGACGCCCGAAACTTGGGAAAAGTTATGCAAATGGACTCAGTAAAGGCCGAACCTTTCCCCGAAGTAATCATCAGTGAGGCCGATCGGGGAGAGGTCAAAGCCTTACACAATGATCCCATGGTATTCATTATGAAGATAGCCAATTTGAAGGTCGGACGAATATTGATTGACACGGGTAGCGCGGCTGATATCATCAGCCTGGCTGCCTTGAAGAATCTAAGCTTCCCAGAGGATGCTCTCCAGGACATCACTCACCCGTTGGTTGGATTTGGGGGGAATGTCATCCACCCGGTGGGGCGGATAGATTTACCCGTCCGATTTGGGCAAAAAGGGGAAGGAAGAGATATGGTTGTCCGCTTCTTGGTTGTGAAAGAGCTAACTGGATATAATGTCATACTTGGCCGTCCTACACTGAATGCAGCCAAAGCAGTCATTGTACCTCACCTAATGCTGCTAAAGTTTGAGAAGGACGGACGGGAAAATAGGTACAATCCAAGGAAGTTAGAAGATGGCAAAGGAATGTAATTAGTTGGCGGTTAAACCTACAACGCGTGGACCAAAGGCGCCGAGCCAAAAGAAGAAGGAACCTCACTCCCAACACACCAGGTCGGCCAAAAGCGTAAGGCGGCCAAGATAGAGCAAGCATAGCAGCTAATGACTGTCGGTCGGCCAGAAGAGTTACGACCCCAGCCGGCCGGCAGTCACCAAGATATAGTGCTTGACCCCGATCAACCAGGTCGGACGGTTAGTGTGGGCACTATAGCTTTGGGTGTGCTTGGGGATGAGTTAATTCAATTGCTGAGAGAGTTCAAAGATGTATTTGCATTTGATGTTGGCGAGATGTCAGGTATAAGCCCTGACCTGGCCGTGCATAAGTTGGTTGTAAACCCAACCATTAAGCCTGTCCGCCAGAAGAAGAGGAATCAGGCGGCCGCAGCTGAAGTAAAAAAGCTTCTGGACGCCGGTTTCATTCGGCAATGTTATTACCCAGAATGGGTGGCCAATGTGGTTCTTGTGAAGAAGCCGAATGGAACTTG